AGCAAAAATTACAGATCGAGGGCAAATCTAGATTTGTTTATCGAAAACGACATAATAATTATTGAAAAAGTAATTGTACATATTTGATTAAATAAATTTTTTTTTTTAGTATTTTGAATATTTGCTGAAGGAATATAGTAGGTAGGTTGGGTTAGTTTGGAGAGTCGGTTTTTTGACCAAAGTCTACTTGAGCTCAAAAAATGAACTGTTCTGGTACTCCATATAGGTATATTTAATAAATTATAACAACTGATAAGATACAATTATATTAATAATTGTATTTATAATATATTAATATAATTGGAATGTAATTATTAATATTAATTCATATACTTCTGTCTAAAATTTTATGTTCTCTTACGGGTTTTCATGAAGTGAATGATTTATCTATAATTGTAAAATATATTTAAACACTATAGCTTAGTAACTGTAACATTGATTTGAACATCTGATTCTTGGTTCTCTAACTATATGAAGTAATGCATTTCAATAATTATTATCTTTTTTTCGAAAAATGCATTGTTTGTAAATGAACTTCAAATGAAGTCGCTTAACTAATGTTTATTTCAATAACAATAAGTTAACTTATATTTGATAGAAAAATTCTGCATTTCTTGATTTCATACTTTGTCGATTTTGATAAAGAGAATGGAATTACATATGTTATTACATAGCCGAAGTACATTAAAAAATTGGAAATAAGTATTAATTAGTTTGGTTTCATAAGCCATACATGTTATCAAATGCTATATTTGTCACTAATAATTTTGTTAAAAATTTTTTTAAACTGATTATTTTAATATAGAATCTCTGTTTCGAAGTATATAAAAAAAATTTCATCAAAGCGATAGAATATACTTTTAGAATATTTATAATAATATAGTATAATAATAGTTGTCAGTTTCGCCACAACTAATATAAAATATAACACTTTCTACTATATTTTATTATACTTTTTCAAATAATAATATACTTAATAAATATACTTAATCAAGTGCAAATCTATAAAAATATGTACCAATATGTAACCATAAAACTGCCGGCACAAGCTTCATATAAGTTAAATATATTTTAAGTTCCCAACCAAAAAATATAATCTTATATTTAATTTTATATTCTTAAAGCTTATTAAATCTACAGTTAAACTTAAGTTCTCTTTTAACAAGAGAGAATGTAGTACATTATTTTTATATTACCACATATTACATTGCATCTATTTCATAAATATCTAATTAACAGATCTACAAATAAATACTATTTTGCCATTTCACGTTACTTTATTTATTAAAATAGAATTTGCAGCTCATAAGCAATTTAATTCAATAAATATATAATTTTGAATTTTCAAAATTTGAAAACGTTCATTACGTTGTTCATCAAATCGTCATTTTTGCTTATATTTTTCATTAGTGCAGTTTTTCAAGAAAGCCGTATTTTGGTGGTATTATTATTATTTCAAAATAATAACAAAATATTAATAACAACAATTTAAAGTAAAATAAAAATTAAAAAACTTAGCATAAGATCTCTTAAATCTTACGAAACCCTTTCTAGATTTAATTATGTTCTCTTAATAATAAGCTGCAATAAAAGTAAATCATTTTAATTATATTAAATTAATAATAATAATTTCATTTAAATTGAAATTTTTTTAATTAAAACTTTGCTAAACACAACAAATTTAGTGTGAAAATCTCTTAAATTATGAAAAGAAAATCATGACTACAATAATATTTTCATTAATAAGCCTACCTCCAACTCACGCCCATAAAAACTCTGCGTGCTATTAAGCGATACTTTTCAGATATGTACGATTGTATAGCACTATTTGTACTTAAATATCTGTATATCCGTACAATCACGCATATCTACACTAACCGATAATATGTGTTTGTAGGTGTTTTGAATAAAATAACTTTCCTGTTTTTACATATAATTTTGACGCTGTTACATTTAACTATGACCTAGGGTACTGGTACATAAAATGCGCACAATCATTTTACCAGGCTCCATACTCATCTTCTGTAAAATTTGAAACAAAACAGAACAAAAAAGCATATAAACACAGTTACTGAATATACTGAAGAACATAAGAAGAAGGGCTGCTGAATGAGTGCACAAAAACAAAAAACAATAATAATATACAAACCTAACCAGAAGATTGAATAAAAGAAGCTTTTCACATATACAAAGTAAACAATGAATCTTTGATAAAGTGTTGCCAACTAAGATAATATTATGCCTAACGATTTTTTTTCTGTAGAAAAAGCTTTTATTGTTTAGTAGTTAATTTGTACGAGGGTAGAGAGTTTAAATTGTAGTATTGACAATATTGTTGCTCGTATAAATTACTACTTAGCAATTTAAATTAATATAGTTACATGATTAAATTTAATTAAATAACTAATTTATTAAATTTAACCCAAATTAATTACCTAAAATTAGCTAAAAGCAACGAATTTTTTTTTATTTTCTTAATAAATATATTGAATAACGAAAAGAATTGTGTTAAGTAAATTATTATTAACCATTTGCATATGGGACATTCCTTTACAAATCGGAAGCGTTTTACCCCATCATCTCCATTTTGGCTGAAATTTTTGTTAATAAGTTCCTTTTATAAAATAAGAAGACTCGTATCTAGGGAAAAAATTTAGGTTTTTTTTCTAGAAGATAGACATATCTAGACATATTTTTAAATGGACATATCTCACGCTCCGTAAATGTTAGAAACTTGAAATTTAATGCGTTTTAAAGATAATTAATTGAAATTTTAAGAAATATTGTTAACAATTAAGATCGTTTATATTTAAGTACCAAAATTAATTGTAGAATTTCAAAAAAAAATTTTAATAAGTTATCTTTTATAGTTAATGTAGTTAAAGGTCTCATATAATTACATGCGATACATATAATTATTATATTGTTATGGTTTTGAAACCTAAATAATCTAAGAAATAGTTTTCTAGAATGACAGTTAGTTTAGAAATAAATTGTATTGTGGTTTGACTATTAGAGAAAATTGTGTATTGGCGACTGCTAAAATTTAGAACAATAAAAAACGATTATATACAACTAGAGTCAACTATTTAATCATTTATCGGGATCCAGCGATTTCCAACGTCTACGCCGAATTCGAAACGTACACAACAATTATATATTGTTATTAAATTAATTTTAAAACCATTTACATATATATTGTAAATTGTAGTATATGTTTGTAAATACTAATTATTCTATATTTTTACTATATTATAGGTTGTACAAAAGTAGCTTTGATTTTATAAGCATTGAAAGAGCACAGAGTTTATTAGTAAGGCTCTATATTCTAGTATTTTTTTCTTCCTACTAGTTTATGAGTGGGCTGTCAGAACTTTTTAAACAATAGAATTTATGCTTAAAAGAATATATCTATTTAATGCAAAACATGAAAATGTGATGTTTGTAGTTTTACATAGGAATTCTTTTTGATTTGATCTGTTTTTTGACTAAAATTGATTGGAGGCTTATGCGAATGGTCAATTGGCAGTATCGAATAAGTGAAGACTATAAAAACCGATCAATTAAAAAAAAATTAATTTAGAAATTCAAATATAAAGTATATAATATATAAACAGTTTTTAATTAAATAAAGGTATTTATTTAAAATATATCATGCGCATGCAAGTTTTTGTCAAAGGTGCTTCCAAATTGACAACTTCATGTTTTTTTTTAGTACTTAAAACCATATGATATAGGCAAAATTATTGAGTTACTTGAAACTAAATTATCTTACCACATCATGATTAAATTATAATAGAGAAATTTTTTTATCCGTTTAACTTACTTTACTTAAGTTATATTAACGTAACTATGCCAGAACAAAAATCAATATAGAATTTATTACTAATAAATTTATTACTAATATCTAATAAAGATCTGTAACGATAAAGATAATGATAATTTTATATCAGAGTTAGTTTTTGATCCCATTTCTCTGCATTTTGTTTGTAAGAAGTTAAAAAAATTATGCATTAAATGGCTAAATTCTTCAATTCTTTGACTTTATTTAGAAGGTACGAGGTATGTATGTGTCCATTAAAATCTACACATATACTCATCATTACATCATTTCTTAAAAACAATTCAACCAAAGAGATTGAATGGTATAACTAATTTTAGCATATATGTCTTTTTAATTGGTATATAAATTTTTGACGTACCTGAAATGATTCAGAAATTATAATAGAGTTAATTTTTTTAAAAATTATAGACCATTTTTTTCTAAAGACAGTAAATTATATAAATTATAAATAATATAATTTAAAATAAAATAACCAAGTTTTGAAAAATGGTGAAGAATAACTAACAAAATAAACTACTTAAATAAACTACTTCTAATATTATTTACAAGTAATTATTAGAATGATACTAAAAAAAAGTAGCTTCTGCAAAATAATTAACTATAAATAATTACAAATGTTAATTTTTTCTTGTCGAGGGTGACTCATCTTTATGGCGAAAAGAAACTATTTAAAAGTTAGACGGATTCGTATAGCAAAGAAAAGACAAAGACAAAAATTTTAGTAAATTTATTAATGTTTGGCTGACCATACAACTCTGTTTCGAGTATTGCTAAATTTCAATAAATTAACTAAAAATTTTTTGTCTTTTCTTTACTATTCAAATCCGAATTATTAATAATACAAAATTTTATAAAAAAATACAAAATTTAAATATATTAAATTTAAATGTTTCACCATAAAAACTAAGGTGAGTTCCCCGTTCCAGTTACAACGTTATCAAATGCAGACACATAAAAGCACAAATCAGAATAAAAAAACAAGTCTAAACTTTTAAGCTTCAAACACAACATAACACCAAACACCAATTGCAAGGGAAAGAAAAAGGAAAGAGTAAAGTTTATGTTTTCGTTTTGAAATTGTTATGCGCTACATTCGTTCGTGCTCATTGCGTATTAATGCTGAGGTAGACGTCCTATCGTTGTCAACTATCTTTGGTTAGTCTTGTAAGAGATTTCGAGCCGAGCTGTTGTGAAAATCCCGCTTCACGCATCAAATGTAAAAAAAGCATTTATATTTGAAAAATAAAAAAGAAAACATTGTGGCATCCTTCAGTGAGCATCAACAGAAAGTTGAAGAAAAGTTTAGTTGTTATTTTGTAAAGGCGCGTGTCAGTAGCAGATGCTTTCAATTGAAACGCAATAAAGACAGTTGAAACGTAATTAAAAAAATTCATTTAAAAAAACTAAAAAATATATAAAATTTCAATATAAATATAAAATAATTAAAAAAAATTTGTAAAGCGAAATGGAGAAATCACCTACAACTCCAGTAAATAGTGCAGCTCACATTGAAAAGATAAGCGTAAGTTAAGGCGCAATTTGAGTTTTAAGCTTTTTATTCCTCTTCCTTTATTTTCTTAATTTTTATTTTTTTTTTTTTGTGTTGTGTTATATTGTGTTGTGTTCGGAAAATAAAGTGGTACAGGCATAGCTATCGCACTGTTGTTGCTATTGTTGTTGTGTTGTTATTCTGTTGTTATTTTGTGTTTATTTACATTTTCTTTTGTAAACCTGCTTGCTTATGCTTCCGGATGTGCAAGCGGTTGCATTCTCTGCCGTTAATGGCACACCATTACCACTTCCAAGACATTATATAATATATACAAAAATTCTTTTGGGAATTTTGTGTGGGCGTGTATAGGTTTCATATAAAGACTGCACCAATTCTAAATAAAATCATTTACCACTACAAATAAGAAGAAAAAAAATAATAATAAATGATGTCAAAACTAATTTCACAGTTGTATTGTCAATTTTTGGCATTAAGTTAAAGATGAGGTTTTAAGGATTCTTAGCGAAATTCTGAGTGATATTGATGATCTCTAACATTTGATTTACGACTTATATAAAAATGTAAAAATAAACTAAGAAATAAGTAGAAAAATACACAATTTTTTATTGTTAATAAGTAGGGCATTGCCCTAAATAGAGATGAGCAAAAAATTGTATTGTTGCGCTAAAATAAAAATAAACCCTTACCAATGAAAAATGGCTTTTATTTCCATAGTATGGGAAATGTTTAGTTATTTCTTATTTTTGAAAAACCCAAATCAGTTACAATAAAATAATAAATCTATACATTGATTATATTTTAAAAAGAGCCAACTACCGAAGATTATTTATCATTTTATTTTTTTTCGCATAATACAGAAATAAGAGAATATTATTTTTTTTTTGAAATTTTGATAATTAAAAAAAACTTAACCTTAGCTGAGACTCGAACCTGAATCTATATGCTTTGAATGATATCCTAATTGGGTTATTGCCATTGTTTTTAATTTTACTATTCGCATTTTATTTTTCGCATAATACAGTCATAAGAAAAAAAATTTTTTTTTTTTTTTAAATTTTGAAAATTAAAAAACTTTGGCTTAGCTAAGACTCGACTCTGAATTTATATGCTTTGAATAATATCCTAATTGCGTTATTGCCATTGTTGCTAATGTATACAAAGTTCTTACATTAGGAGTGTTCACACTCAGTATTTGATAAACTTTTATGTATAATTGTATAATTTGTTGTTTTTGAGTGATAATTTTAGAATAATTTTAGAATTTTAGAAATAAATAGAATATTCAAAAAACATTACAATTTTTTGAATACTGAATTATCAAGTAACTGAGTGTTATATATAGTATTCAAGTATTCTATATATTCTATTCTATTACAAATAAACAAATTATAATATACAATTTTTTTTTACAATTTACTTTTAAATTAAAGAAATGCATTTTAATACTGTGTAATTTTTTATTTTATTAATTAATTAATATTTTATATTGTATGTTCAGCTTATGACAACTTTAATTTATTTTTTGGTATGGATCAGCAGATAGCATTTCAATATATGATTTATTTAGGTTCATATGACATTAAATTTATTGCACATTTTATATCTCACTTTTCAATCAAAACACAAAAAAATGAGAAATTCAGAGATAATTTTGTTTTTATTTGCATGAGTACACAATATTAATGATTTTTTGATTTTTTTCATTCTTGTCGATTTTAAACTATTACAATTTTTGATTTTAAAAACAAAATCGTATTTGAAAACATTTAGTAAATATTTACACTATTTCTCAAATACGAATTTAATTTTTTATTTATATTACGTCCATTTCAAAAAAATTGTTATAGTTTGTAAAAAGCAATAAAGGTAGACATTTATAAAAAAATGGATTTTAATATTTCCATAAAGGTCAGGTGCAGTAAATCCAGCTGGCCGTTAACCACGTATAGACCCATTGATCTGTAGCGATACCATATTAATTTAATAGTAGGCATTTTATTGTATTAAGTTTTTAAAAATATATTGACACACGCAGCATAGATAAAGAGGAGTTAAGTCAAAAACAAGAGAGTCAAAACATACTTACACATGTATCAACTAAAGTTAATCCCGTAAGGCACATATAGACCTATTAATTTTAAGCGAGAGCATCTCGACAATTCTTGCTGTTGCATTTTTTATCTTTTATGAATAGAAAATATTTAGGATCTATATATTTCAAGCGACATACCTTATGATATCATGTACGGGTTTCTTCAGCGGTATGTTATCATATTAAATAAGTCCTGCAACAATTTGGATGATTGAACTGACTGTGTTTTGATAAAATAATCAAAAATTCTTTTAGGGTCTTGATTTTCAAATGCAATAAATTATATATTTCATATAGATCAGCCCAAGATAGTGGAAGCTTTAAGATCTTTAACTACATTAAAGCGATGAATTAAATCGAGATATAAAACCGATTTGAAATAAAAATACATTGAATGCGGTTTTAAAATATAGAGTAGAAGGATTTTTTATGGACCTATTTCAATTATTCAGCTCTGGCTATATTTTGAAGTTACTAACATTTAACTAAAGAAAAATTGAGGCTACAAAGAACTAATATTCCATTGATATAATGAATTGCGATTAATTTGAAATAACAGATTCACGAGTATATTTTTAATATTTTTGTTACATCACTGTGATATATATTGTCTAATTACTTCGTCGTAAAGGGTAAACTTTGTGTTTCATCTATCTCACAGGAATAATTTTATAGTAGGATGCGGTATAACGTGAGTTTTCAAATTTGACATTTATTATTGTATATTTTAATATAGTGATGGTATTAAAGTTTTAGCTTATGTTAAAATATTCATGTACTTCTTCTATTCGCTCTTTTCCTTCTTTGTGAATGATTTTAGATAGAATATATGAATTTTCTCCCGTACGTCACTTTTTGTGTTGCGTTTAGGGAATTTATGTCTGTGTTTACAAATTTATTATTCCCAAACTATAGATGAGTGCTGGTATGGTATGGGTACATACATTTATTTTGTGCTTTTATTCAATTATTAAAGTTAAATGCTATATTTCACAGATAATATTTAGTATATTTTGAACTTTTTTTCTGTCATACTGCGGTTAATACTTTTTGCAATTTTTTGTTAATAATTAATAATTTTCATTCAATAATTGTTATGTATATAAAATTTAATGAATTTTTATAGATATTTTTACTAAATATTTTTATTAAGGTTGCTATTATTGATACCGCAAAACCACAATCCCTTGTATACAGTTTATTAAGTTAATTTAGATTGACTTGTTGACTTCATTTCTCTAACAGTCTTGACATTAATGATTTATAATTCTAAATTTATTTATTTTTTTAATTTAAAATTAATTATGTAAACTAAATTGTTTTTTTTAATTCATAATTTATTACCTTGTTTATTATCGTATGTTTATGAGCAAATTTACTCTTACATCCTTTAAATTAAGATAATAAAAACATATTTCTGAAATAATTAATTTGTTATGAAATCTATGCTTTGGTTATTTTATTATTATTATTCACATTAAGTTAATTTTCATATGTTTTTTCGTTACGGTGTGATAGAATCTATCATATCAGAAAATATGATTTAACACCATATTTAAGCAGTAGATTTCAAAAATCTACAATATAAATGGTTCAGTACAAGTATAATAAAATAAGTTTTCTTCTTCTTTTTGTTAACCTTATCTTATTTTGGGTCGGCTTTCTTTGTGTGATATCTCAAAGCCGCCTGCTGCGGTTTTTCTCTTCATTTAAAATTCTGCATCGCATATTGCCAGGTGTACCAGATGTTCGGTGGTTTATCTGGTTCTTTGACCTTCCCATTTATTTATTTTTATGAAGACAATAGCTCGTCTCCATTAAACGATTTTCAGTTATACTAGAAAATCATCTTAAAAAACAGTTAATATGCTACATACAAATCTGGTTTCATATAATATAAACAATTTAATGATTTGCAGATTTAAACTACAGGGTTGGGCAATCGAAGTGTTACCTATTCAAATAACCATATCTTTTTCTAATCGCTTAACCCTGCAGTTCTGGAATGTTATTAGAAATGGAAATGATTGTTACAGTAATCGCGTCCTTAATTGAGGTAACCGAACTGCAGTTAAGTCAAACGAGGTTATTAACGAAAAACAGTTGAAGATTTTTTCGTTACCGGTGAACGAAAGAATTTTCTGACTGTTGTATAAAACGAGATTGAGATTTTTTTTTGAAATTATTCAGTCAAGTACCATTCTCCTTGATCAAACAATATTTCTCCGAAATTTTTTTAACATTGTATTTCTTCTTAAACAATAGATCAATATTTTGATATGTCAATATTTTGGTAAATAATACTACATAAAATAACTACATGTTTAATGTAGTTTTTCTTCTAAAAATAAATTTTTTGAATTTTAAGAACAATTGAATACCATTTTGCCTTAAGTTTTAAATTTAATAAACTTTAAATGTTTCTGGTATATTTTTGCAATTTGATAAGATTACATTCTTTGGAATTACAATAGATGACAATTAAAGACTTACACTGAATTGCTAATGTTTCAATGGTTTCAAATTCTAACGTCCTTTCTGTACAAAATTGTACTTCATTCAAATCCTTTGTTCGTGCTTACAATAAGAAATCGAGAAAACGCGTTCATTTGAAAAGGATAATTAAATCACAGACGCTGTTATTACTGTCATTATCAATAATTTGAAATCTCTAATTTTCGTGACTTTGAAATAATTCTTGTACTTCTGTAGGAAACCCATTTGCGGTTGTCAAATGTGTTGAAAAGTCGGTTTATTAGCATAAAGTTTTGTTAAAAAAAATATTAAAAAAATTAAACAACATTTTCTAATTTCATTTTAAGTTAAACATTTTTTAATCAAACTTTTCCTTTTATAAACTTGAGGTCAAAGGGATTTTGGCTAGAAAATTTATAGAAATATAAGAAGGAAAGTAAAA